TTGATAACAAACTCTTAAGTGTTTGGGGGTAAATGCACAGGAGTGTTCCTGGTGAAAATAAACTTCCAGATCCTTTTCCATACCTCTGCATGCAGATTATATAGAAATTTGTATGTAAAAGAGACAGATATTGCCATGGCACTCAATGGCCTGTTAAAACCAAGTCTGGTTTAAGAGTTATCTCTACAATACTTTCATAATATTCCTGACCCTACTGTTTGAGGTGTGCAACCTGATTTGTACTGTGGCCAGGGAAGGTGTCAGCCACTCTGCACTGCAAGGCTGGTCCAAGCCTCACTTTTTAAGGGGCTGCTGTAACCCATAAAAATATGTTCCTGATGTTTTATAATATTTATTTCCTGTATTATTACTTGTAAAAGTCTGGCACATATCAGAGTAAGGTGGTAGATGTTAGCACTGAAAAGTCTGATAATTCTATTAACCTGTTCATAAATATGTTAGTAATTATAAACAAAATAAACATAAATAAAATAGCATAAACAAAAATAACAATTATAATAATGGTAGTCATGCCCATTTAAAAAACATGGTCTGAAATAGATTTCTTAAAAGTATGTTTTGAGGCTAGAAGGTAAAATCTATCAATTGCACGATATAAAAGCATAATCTAAGAAATTGCAAGCAAATTATTGTTTACAGAAAAAAAAAATCATGACTTCTTGCAATTACCTAATGAATATAATTTAAAAAAAAATGTTCTTAAAACATGAAATAATGAAGCATAAATGTTCAACAGATAAAAGAAGCAACCATTAATAGAATGCTGGTATAGGAACCCCAGGAAGCTACAGTAGGTGTCTGAAGGAGTTGATGATTTTCCAAAGAACAAAGAGAATGTGAGGGGCTGTTAATAAGTCTTTCAAGAGAGCTGGACTTGAGCCACATAGTGCTTGGTCTGCAAATACTATGTTTAAAAATCAATCCTCTGCTTCACAGGAAGCCAATGTACTTTTGTCAAAATTAGAGCAACATGAACATCTGTCCTGGAGCCAGTTAACCCTCTCACTGCTTGCACGCTCCTGATATTCCCTTCCCTCCCATGAGCAGTGGAGAGAAAAACTGTAAACATCCACAGAAACCCAAGGGTTAATGCATTTGCAGCAGTATGAGAGTATCAACACACTTTAGGATTAGTGAGAAAATTCAGGCAGTCAGCAGTGCAAGACAGAACTTGAGGACACAGAGTCTCAAAGCAGAAACCTAAGCCTGAAGTTACAAGCATTGAAAACTGTTGAGGATAAACAAGACAAAAGCAACACAGGATGCCATTTCACAGCTTCAAGATTACCTTTCAAAATAATTCAAATATGCTTTTAGGAAGCACTAACTAAAAGGTGTTGATGATACTATTTAACTGGCAATCTCTGCTTTCAGTTAGATTTTGTTTTTTTTCCAGACACATGTTTTGAGAGAAAATGTTTTGTTATTTTTTTTCTAGTCATAGAAATATTAATATTCTAGGGTTGGAAAAAAGGAAACATACCAGGAGGATTATTTGCTTTCAATATCTTTCTGTACAGAGCCATCATTATCCAAAGAATTAAACACCCTCTGCTACAACCATTGTTGAATGGATGACCCTTCTCCCTTTCTGGAGGTGCTCTCGTGTGGATGCAGGTGGCTCAATCAAGTCCATCTCTGCCTTCTGATTTTTTTTCCCTGGAGACCACCTGCCCAGATACTTGCATTTGACTGTAATTCCCTCCAACAGCACTGCTACTTACTTCCCTGGGGCAGGATTTTGCCTTAGCTATTTACAGAACCATTTTGATGCCACCTAAAAAAATCTCATTATCGTGTCACTTAAGAGAGAGAGAGAGAGAGAGAGAGAGAGATGCAAGTGAAATATTCCTACAGTAAAGCTGAAACACTAGGGACTGGAATAGACAGGAAAGCTGCTCCCTGCCTGAATCTCACCCTGCTAACAGGTCTCAAAATCCTTCAGCAAGCTGCAGATTAAATACCTCAGCCTCAGTGGAGCAGCCCCATCATGAATATTGTGTAACGCTGGGCATCCAAGCAGAAGAAATGAGATTTTTCAACTTGAAAATGCATCAAATTCTTATGCAGCACCACCTGGCACAAACTAAAGCTTGCAACAGGCACTGCCACATCTGCCAAAGGCATGCTTGGTTAGCATTGCCCAAGCCTTTGTAAACCACAACCACTCACGTGCCTGGAATTTCACCTGTTCACAGGGAACTGTCAGTGCAGTGTTATGTGGCAGGTTTCATCTTGGATTAAAGAAAGGATTGAAAGCTCTTAGGAGAAAATAAGTACACTGTAAGAATAAAATCCCTGTATGAGAATAAAAAAAGAAACCCACCAAACTAAACCACAAAGCAAATAAGCAAGCTCAAAACAAAACAAGAAAAGAATAAGCCCTGAAAAATAATACTTATAGCTACTGGCTTACACAACTGCCCCTTGAAGCTAAGAATAGCCAGATGAAAAAAAAATCATGGAGGTGCAAGCTCAAGAGTTAAGTAATGATCATTTTCAATTTCATTTCCTGTTTGCTGATGTTAGGTAGCTGGGCTCTTTTTCCTTTTCAAGAACATGAAGAGCATAATAAAACTGAATGTGGATTTTGGTAGTTTGCACCACTTTTTTTCTAACTGGAAGGATGGAATTGCAATTAGAGCACTGAAAACCATCAAACCCCATTTCCTCCCATACACAGCTGGCCTTTCTCACGTGGAATGCAGTTTCTGCTCTCTTTCCTATACACCAACTCTTTCTGAGTAACAAAGGAAGGCCATGAAACAAGGAAGGTGAAAATATAGATCCCTTGACTGCTTTAACATAATTGTGTTTTCTTATGGTAAGACACAGTATTTTCATTTCTTCCCTGGGTGGTAGCTCATTAATCATTTTAGAGTACTCTTCCCAAGCTAAAATTCACCCTTATAACACACCTTGTGGGAGAGTCTCAGAACTCTAAATCTTGGTGCATTAGGGGTCAATAATAAATGATATTAATTTTTCCTCTACACAAAACTAAAGAGCACTTTAATAAGTAAAGAAGGCAATAAACAAGCCTGAAAGGAAATGTGATTATGACAACTTGTCATAGAATATTAAATAATGTAGCATTGATATAATTAAGTATCAGAGATAGGGATGCAACAAAATAACTTATGCTAATTATTTCATTTGAGAGTTAAGAAATATTGCATATGTAGCTAGACCTATATTTGTGTCCTTATTTACATATTTATAGCATTTTAACTATAGTAGGACAATGGCTATTTCCATTTTGCTTCTTACAGAGCCTCCCTGCAGTGCTAATCAAATCTTGACATCTGACTCTAACACTGAGAGTTTTAAGATAATTAAGCACTTTAACCTAATGAACTTGCATTTTAATCCACTGTATTTGTTTAGAGAAAGCCCAGGAGACTAGTAATGAGATATGGAGTTTTACACACATTTATAGTGAACACTCAGATTAAGCTCAGCTCAGGAGCAAGACAGATCTGAAGCTTCATCTTCAGTTGTAGCACAGCACAAGTGATGGCAGAGTTCATCACAGGAGATTAGATTTGTCTTGCTCTAATGAAATGCAGTAGCTGCTCCACCGCAATGGCTGCATGCAGCTCCCCAAAATAAAAACTCCACTGTGGTTGACTTTGCAGCCGGCCAAATGCTGAATGGAAATGGAATTTTATGGCTGTGGCTGCACCAGAAAAAGGGTAAAAATTTTCCAGTTGAAAGGGGAAAAGGAAGCCTACAACTGCCAGGGCTGTGTCTGTGGCCATCAGTCCCAAAGGCTGTTTCAGCAGCACTGCATTCCTCTGCACAAAACAATCCTGCCAAGAGCCAGAGGCAGGCCTCTGGCAAGCTCAAATCCATGTTACTGGGCAGTTACCAGGTAAGGAGCTCCACAGGGAAATGCATTATTTGCCTATTCACAGCAAGCCTCACCAAGGGAAGGGGCTACAAGCTGGCTGTGTTTCCTCAGCTTCTTACATATTTACTTCTCCAAAAGGCAAAACAGTTACAGGAAAGAGTTGCCTTGCCATCCATGCCTAGCTTCTCTTTTTTTTTTTTTCCTATTTTTCTGCATCCCACAAAAAGAAAAAAATTCAGATTTTATATATTCTTCACAATTGAAGCCAAGACTGATGAACAGGAAGGCAAGAAACTACCTGCTTTCCAAACAATTGCTGCTGTGCATATGATTCAGAGAGATGAGCTAAACCTTAATCTTACACTTTGTGGAAGCATCTCCTAGCCAAAAGCATTTATTTATTCCTGCATGGAATATATTCTGGAGATGTCCTGTTTGGAGCTTTTCTTTATCTGTTTTTAAATAACAAAATGCTTTTCATCATCATGACTCTTAACTCAGCAGTGCCTCAGAGACTGAGGCTGATGCCCTTGCAGCTCAGGAGGGACAGCCTGCAATTTCTACAATGCTGAACACCCAACAGCCTGACAGCTGGAACACTTCCCTCTCTGCTTTGAGTTTTTCACTCCTCCCTGCACTCCTTCTTTCAGCTTTGTGGCTGCAGATGTACCCCTGATAACATGGAAACAAAGACACCAAGTTACAATGCATAGCACAGCTCTTAAGCTTTTAAAAATGACAAACTGTTCCAGTCTCCTTAAGCATCACAGCAGTTCTCATGTTACTTCCCCTGGCTTTCTGGTTTCTTTTTTCAGTGGTTACATTTTCAAAATTTTCACCACACCCAAGAAGAGTGAGAGACTTTGGAATCACTGCATTTGCCAGCTAAACCCATCAGGCAATTTCTTGATTTTCTTTGACAGATTAAAAAAAGAAAAAAACACTAAAAAATATTGTAGAGGCTGTAAAGAAGAAAATTATTCAAATGTGAACTGTCAACACAGAATGCCAGGTTTTCCCTCCAGTAGCACAACACTAGTCAAAGGTAGATGCAGTGGGAAGTAGAAGAGACCTCACCACCAGGCAGCCATGCAATAATCACCCAAAATCACCAAGGCTCTGCTTGCCTTCAAATCCAATACGTCGGTGACACAATCTGATTTTCATTTCCCACAATATGTTTTCCTATGAGAATTTTGGAGGAAAATATATCTGCATTAGAAATTACTTCAGTGAAATAATAATCAAAAGAATCCACTTCATTTTGTATGATAGATCAGAGCAAAACCTGTAATGAATCCTTATCCTTGTACTAGTACCAAGTTAAAGTTCTGAAATGAGATTCATAATATCTTTTGCTCTTTATTTTTCAGTTTTCTTTATTTTGCTAAAAGATTCACTACATCCCTTCCATATTATATTTGTGCTCAATACTTTATATGAGAAGAGTTTGATTTTTTTATCTGTGTGTCTTCCCCAGCTAAGCCTGGGCACAAGTCTGCTGTTGAGCACTCCTTACTTGGATTTTGAAAATAACAAGCAGAAAGATCTACAAAATTATTCAAAAATTAACCAAAACAAGGGTAAACCAGAAAATTAATTGTTTTATATATAACTTAAAAAGCCAACATTAACTGTGTTTTTTAAGTTGTTAATGTGATCACTGAGGTTTTGGTAGAAGAATTGTATCCTACTGAGATCACTCCACAGAGTTAAAGCCTTCTGATATGAGCACTTATGTGGATTATCCACTTATATTCCAACTCAAACAGGTTATCTGCTAGAAACATAATCAAAGAGCCCTCCAGCCCGAGTTTCTTTCAGATTTAGCTAAGCTGATTATATCCTCCCACTTTTAAGTCCTGTTTTTTCTCGTGTAATCCTGGCATTCTGGTCTCTCCCTGGCTTGCCACCCACCATCACCATTGCCACTATTTTTCAAGGCTACCCCAAGTCTACAACCTGATGTGCATGTGAAAAACTGATGCCAAGAACCACACACCAACACCTGTAAAGCATGCATTCATTTTAGAAAGAAATGAAATTGCAATTGCTCAATCATATAATCATCCTGTGTTTGCAATAAGAAAACATCAGGGGAAAATATGTTGTTTCTTCCTGAGGTTTGTTAATACAAACATAAGATGATTTCAAGCTAAACGTGAAAAATTACATCCAATTTAACTTATGAAAATAAATCTATTTTCTAGAGGAAGTGGTTGTGTTGCCAACATCTGGTATTTATGTACATACATGTGTGTACACACATACTTTTTTTTTTAGGAGTTTTAAAAATGCAAACAATTGAAATGCATTTCCTTATGTCATCTCTAGTCAAAATATACAAATAAACATTGTTTTTCACAAAATTTTGTAACCCTCTTTTTTGCAACAGACCAACCACTTCACTAATGAATCTGTGCTACTGTACATTGAATTTTACATTAAACAATAAATTTTACATTAAACATTGAATTAAGCCAGGGTACACATTATCAGAATAATTTATTACATACTGTAAAGAAGGTTGCATTTAAAATGCAGATGAAGATATTTAATGAACTTCTTACAGATTAATGATGTGGCAAACAGTTGTTTGTTTCTATTTGATGGTGATCCCATGAAACCATTAGAGGTCCAGCTCCAGCTATTAGTCACAATTCAGTGGCAACAGAGCTCCAGAAAAGCCAAATGCAACACATCCTTGTGACATTCTGCACTAAAGAACTGATGAAATATTAATCACTCAGGCTCCACATGCAAAATGCAACAAAAAAAGAAAGTCAGAATAAGAAAAAATAGCACAGCAGGGGTGCTGTATATTAACATCAACAAGCCACTTTGAAAGGCTAAAGCAAAATGCAGCAACCCCAGCCCCACATGTTTGTAATTTTAAAACTCTTGTCATAGCTAAGTAATAGCATGGCCACAGCAGGATACACCAAAATTAAAGGTAAAAGCTCTCCTAAGGGGTGAAGAGAAGATGTAATAGTGCCAAAACAGTCCCTGGAAAAGGCATTTAGGGCTTTTTTTTATTTTTATTTTAAGAGAGAGAGAGCAAAGCAAAAGAACCAGATTCATTACAAAGATTCATTTGGCATAATTATGTTCTCCTTTGTGATTTCTGAAAGCCTTTGACTGTCATCTGCTGCTGCAGAAATTTTCTGTGGTCTAGACATTTGGTCACTCATACAAATATCACCTCTTACCAGAGCAGCTCTGTGAGTGACGCTGGTCTTCCCAGCTCAGGTCTCTTTTGTATGAAATCTTTCAGGAGTCTACAATGCCCAAAAAAAAAAAAAAAAAAAGAAAGAAAAAACAGTGGTTGTAAAAATGTTTGTGTACATGAGAAATTTTGCAAGTCTTCAAGTTTCCTGGTGCTTCAAAAGACATTCTCTTGTAGCAAACAAAAATGCAGGATTAGATAATTTGTACCTTGGATCTCTTCCCACAATGTGCTTCTAATACAAATACTTCAAGATCAGGCTAGCACCAATCTCACTTGGATTTCCCTGATTATGTAATACAGTAATTAAACTACCTTGAATTTTCTGGAGCCTTGAATGTCAGGAAAAACCTTAATTTTTTTTCCAAATACCAGCCTTGCTGACTCATCAGTACTAAGGATACAGTAAGTAAAGATTGCCCCATTGAGGCCATTATCTTATTTCTTGGGATGACTACAATTTACTCCACAGGCCTGTTTCTCATATTGTCTGAATTACATATTTGGATTAGATGCATTAAATTGTTCTCAAATTGTACTTATAAGATTTCAGCCATCCAACATCATCAGGCTTTCCACTAACCAATATTACCCATTGTTAAATGAATCTGTTCTCCTAACAAAAGCTATGGTAGATTTTTCTGTATGTGATCATCAACCAGTGAATTAAATGAGCCAGTGTGTTTTTTTTCCAGCTACAAAGTTGTATATGAGAATATTTTTACATTCCTCCCTCACTTAAACATTGATCCCAGCTGTACAAAACACCATTGAGAATTTCAAAACCACACATTGTTGTACTGTGGTCATCAGTTCTCATCTGTGCATCTTTACATAAAGAACCAATAAGTAGAAAGAATTTTAGTCTAAGATTGTTGCTGGTGCTCATTACTGCTTGGAAGGTCTTATTGTAAAATTCCAGCTACGGTAGTCAAGCTCAAAAGAGCAACACAGACACCTTTTCACACAAAACACAGACTCATAATTGAACTTATGGATTCTAAAAGTTGTTACCAGGCTGCAGATCAAACCTACCGACTGCTCATGAAATTTAAAACATATACACATTATAATTAATGTCAGGGAGGGAAAAAGCAAACATGGGTGGCACCTTTGTCTTTGTTAAATTCTGAATTAATTTAATCAAAACCTAGAAGGCAAAAATATAACTAGAAAGAAATTACACTTAAATCATAAAGTTGATATTTTTTTCCCATTGTGTGACTTCATATTGGCTGCTAGAGTGTAATATAGGAAGGGTGAGAGAAAAGGGGAACTAGAGCTGGACAAGTAATATTTGAGCATCTTGGAATTCCCAGTGAAATTGCACACAACAGTGAAATCCCCCCTCTCCTCTGATGCCAGGCTCAATCTGTTTTGTAATAGCTGATTATGAAGCCTTGCTGTGTCTCTACTAGATTGATTTCTGTGCCAAACACAGAAATGAAATGGGAGCTTTTGAGGGAGGGAAAGGCTATAAATTAGGGATCAACAAAAATTCATTACAATTCCCTTTTTCTCTAAACTGAAACTCTTCTAGAAACAGCACACCAAAGCCCCCTATCATCTGACCTCCACCCTGTCAATACTTAAAAATGAACTTGAAGGCTTCTTGTAGCCCAGTATTTGCAATGTTTTGCACATCCTAATGAAAGAACCCAGACTTTTTGTTTTATTCCAGACAGGACTTGCAAGGGCTCATCCAGATGTGCCAGGCTGCTGTGGCATTTACCAAAACCCCTCATGCCCTGTCTGGCAGAACCTTTGGGGCCAGAAGGGGAGCCCCAGGGTGGTCATAGCAGCAAAAGTAAAAGGAGGAGATTAACAAATTTTTGCATTAAAAATTTAAACTTTGTTATCAAAGAGGTTTTTCTGCATTAATTAGAAAATTTGGCTGCAGGTTTTAGCATGATTGCAACTGGACTGAAAGTAACTGTAATTTTTTTGATCAATCTGTTACAATTTTAATTACACTTACAATGAATTCTTATCTCTGCATATGAAGGGTTCTCTTTTGCCAAAGCAAGGTTCCCAGTTTAATATCCTTTCCCACCTTTCAGCTTTATGTGGTAGGGCTACTTACCATCCTTTATTACAGTACTGCTCTGCAGTCCCTTTCCCTTCTGCAAATCTCAGTTCTTTCCTGCTTAGAAAACTGAAAAAATAGTTTTAAATCAGCTCAAACAAGACAATCATACTGGTAGTGCTTGTGAAAACAGCAGTGGCTGGAGGTAACTTGTAATAATAACTCTAAAAAGAAGCATTATTACATGCCTTCATGACATAACTTTTTTCAAGTTCTTTCATTTTGATTTTACATTTTTAAAAGGAAAAGGTGGGCTCATACTGCAAAGTCCATGTCATAAAGAAAAGCATAAAGATTTAGGAGAAATTTACTGAGAGATTCACTGCAATGACATCTATTTTATACACAAAGAAAAAGATAGCAAGTGTGCTAATGCTGAAAACTAAGACCTGCAGAAATGAACTTTTTCAATTTATTTCTCATGCTTAATAAGTTCACCAGTGAAAAAATACAAACAATAAATACTATCACAAATAAAAGTAACCCAGTTTTAGAATTGAACCAGATTTTGACTCATTACTTTCATGGTAAAAATTAGCAGGCAAAATCATAATCCATTATAAATTGATCACTGCCCAGGTCTAGGTGGCAAATGGGAATTTGTGATGCTTTATTCCTACAGGTTATGCAGACTTCTCCATGGTGAGTCTGAGTCCTCTGAAGTGGAGCAAGTTCAGTGAAATTAAAGATTGGCTGGCTTAATTTGGCAAAGATTCTAGATTTTTTTCCTCAAAATGTGTAATAAAATTGCATGAGCAACTTGCAAAGTAAAACCCCAAGTATATATTCAAATATTACCCATAATCTTTCATTTTTCTTAAAAAGCACTAAAATAATTCATTGTGCTCCTCATATTAAAATCACATCCATACCTAAGAATATCTGCAAAGAAACGATATTTTTTATAAAAAGATCTATGAAAGAAAATAATACATAAATACTTACAGGTGCTTCTTTATGCACTGATTTACATCTACATTTAAGTGCAAGTTCCTTACATATAACACTGCATTTCTACCATCTAGAATTGGACATTTCAGTAGATAAAGTACATTTTATTACATAAACTGACCAAAGGTTATTAATCTAAGTAGTTTTTTACCAATTTATTAACCATCACGTGTTCATATGATTGGTTTTTAGGTACCAATCTTCTAACAAGAGTGAATAATGAACACACCACCTAAATATCCCTCAATTTAAAGAGGGATATAATGGAACCCTCTCCATTAGGGATATGGGAAATTTCACAATCAGGTTAGATTAATCAGGGTTATGCAGCTGGGCAATGGTGCAATTAAACAATAAGACAGATAAGAGAGATATTACCATGAGATGACAAATGCCTCAGAGGTGCTGGTAAATTCTGAAGCCTGGAATAAACAACAGAATATACCACCATTGCTACATGTCATAAATACAGGTTTCTCTTCAAAAAAACAGTAACACAGCACTGAATTTTTTCACTTAAAGTAAATACTTAGTGTTTTCATTAGAAGAGTCCTGAAAATGTAGTAAGTGATATTTTTAATAACACTACCAAAATGAGTAATCAAACTAAGAATATGCAAAGTATTTTCTTCATTTTAATGTATAAAAGCTTTCAAATATTTGGTTTTGTCTAATATTTATCTGTTAAAATTTAAATTTTCAAGCCTGGGGTAGGTTGCTGGGCTTAAGAGCAACCAAGACAAGATTTTTAGCCAGGATTTGTCACAGTGGGGAAGCATAAGTAATATTTTTAAAGTCAGCAGGTGCTTGTTTTCACCTGATTTCTGCATAAACCAAAAATGCAATATTTTCTCACTTTCAGTTACCCTCTACAATTGGACATTTCAGTAGATGAAGTACATTTTATTGTGTAAACTGAGCAAAGGGACATTCCATAGCACATGGCATCATGCTCAGCATACAAAGATGAACGTCAGAACTACTGTCTGCCCATGGGAACTGGTGAATGAATTCTTGATTTTGCTTTGCTTTTGTATAGCCTTTGCTTTCCCTATTAAACTGTTTCTAACAGCCCACGGGGTTTTGCACTTTTATCCTCTTGATTTTTTCCCCCAAACCAATGTGGAGCTTGCGGTTGGGGGGTGCTTTGTTGTCGTCTGGGGTTAAACCACAAGCAGAGGGTGTGATTGCAAAGCCACTTATTGGCCACATCAAGGTTGCATGAGTAGAAAACAGCTTAATTTGTCTCTTGGAATTCCTGTCTATACAACAAAGAAAAGTGCCAGCTTGTTCTTTTCTTCTTTTTTTTTTTCCTTAATTTGCATTTTCTCCAAAATCAAAGCAGCTTCTCCTTCTCATGTCACAATACAGAAAGGCTGATCATCTTGAGACAATATACATGTGAGACAGAATGTGTGGTTCACAAAGTGTGGTTTTAATAATTCATTCTTAGGTCGTCAAAGGGGAGACAGGCTTTAGCAGTTCCTTTTGTTGTCACTTTAAAACAGGTAATACTACACAGAAGAACAGCAACCACTGGGTGGCCTCTCCTGAGTACTGAGCCCAGGTCTTTTTCTTGTTTTCTTGTTTATATCAGAAACTTACCTGCAGTCCACCAAGTCAAGAACTGTAATTTCTTCAATTGCTGCCCAGGAGGTGGTGGAGTCCTTATCCCTGGAAGTGTTGGAGAAATGACTCAGTGCAGCACTTGGTGCTGTGCTTTAGCTCACGTGTTGGTGCTCAGCCAAAGGCTGGACTTGGTCATCTTGGAGGTTTTTTGCAGCCATAATGATTCTTGGATTCTAACCTGATGAACAGCAGCATGTCTACAGACAGCAGTGGCTGGTGTCCTCCCAGTGTCAAATCACAGCTTGGACCTCAGGAAGGTTCTGTGCCACCAAATGCCCAGTGAGAGCCAACATCTCTCTCTCCTCCCAGTCAATGCAGCAGGACATCTTGGGACTCCTCAGGACCTCTTGGCCCAACAGCAACTCCATAAAAGAAGTGGCAAAAGGGCAGACACCCTCCCACAGGGATGCTGGGCCAGCTGGTGCTGCTGGCACTGGGGGCTGGAGCCACCCCAGAGAGCTTCTGGTCAGGAGAATTAATGAGAGATTACGGCCCACAGTCTTCCTCACAACTGCCATAAAAGCTGCTGCTCTTGGGGCAGCAGAGGAAGAATGTGCTAAAACAAAAGAGACTTTTGATGTTGGTTCCCTGGGTGGACAGACCATTGTTGGCTGTGTTTGGGACAGTTAGCAGAAGGCAAAAGGAGAAAGAAAAAACAGCAGAAACAGCTGCAGGTTTTATTGTGGGTGCTCAGTCCTGCTGCATGTGGTAAATAAGGAATTTTTAAAGACTAATAAGGAGAAAAGCTGGTGAATAAAATAGAACAGTGAACTGGCACAGCTTCCTCTTCTGATCCATGGCTCTATCTTGATAATAAAAAGAAACTGTAAAATAAAGTAAGCATTTTAGTCTAGAACATGTGAAATCACATTCTAAAACATTTATAGAAAATGTTTAATTTTTAAACATGTAGGTCCGAGGTTACTGAAAAAAAGGCAACATTCAAAATGAGCAGATAAAGTATAAAAATGGCTGTTTCAGTGAATAGCTCTCTAGAAAATAATGTACAGTGGTGACTAAGAAGTAGTTTTCCACACCAGTACTTTAACAGCTCATCAGAGAGCTTTATTATCAGTTATAAAAAAAAATAAAAATTTAATTTTTTTTATGTAATGATACATTCGCATAAACTTAACAGTCAAATTATTCCCTATAAAAGTCGTGCCTTTTCTTATGAATATCTTACGTTGCTGGGACCACTTAAAAGGCAATCAGAAATAAAAATGCTACAGACACAAGGAAATGAATCTAAGTTGCAATGTGTGTGAGAAGGTAAAACAACAATAAAACAGTAAAAAAACTCAACCTAAAACTGTGACATCAGGTTACTCCAGTATATGCAAAAATGTAGGGAAAAACAGCACACAAAAAACCAGAAAGGCTTCCTTAAGAGGTCATTTGTTCCTGTCCTAATAGTGAATATAGTGGGGATCTTAACCTGCATGTATCGTTCCAAACTATTTCACTAAAGTGAGGTTGAGTAAAATCACGAGGCATTATCAAAAAGCAAACATTAATTTAGGGTAAATAAAACTTTTTTGAAACTCAGTAACACTTGAGCCATTAAAAACATATAGGCTGAAATGTATTTAATAGTAAAGAGACTAATTAAGCTGGCTGACCTCTTATAGGAAACAGATTGTTCCCAATATCTGCAAGTACAGTTTATTCCATGGGAGTTTTTTGCCAGCTGTGTGAGGAAAAAAATTCAAACTTGGACCAACTAAAGTTATTTAAGTAATTTACTTTTACTGCTTTTACATATCTGTTCCTAATTTTCTAAGAAATCTATGCACACAGTTGGAAGGGATTTTCTGCCTGTTTAAGGGACTGCAAGCTACCAAAAACACAGCTTAAAGTTTTGCAGTGTATACAGATTGCACCTGAAATTGTCTGTAACTTTAAAATTTCCACATTTTATTATTAAAATTCATAGTGGAGAAAAAGCTGGCCATATACATTCGGCTTATTTGCAAGCCACCGAGACTTGATGAATTTTTATCCTCAACAGGGGGAGAAAAAACAGGCATGAACATTTAGCAGGAAGCAAAATCTCCAAGCAAGATACACAATCCTAGATCTGTTGTTCCTCAAAAAATGCAGCCTTGTCCTGTCCAGATTCAGGAACTAAAACAGAGAAGTCTCATTCAGTTGTAACAAAATATTGAACTGAAAAGAAAAAAGTCTGTTGTCAATTTTCATTGTTTGGAAAGTTATTTTTTTAGACACCTGAAAGATTCATATTCTAATTTCACTGTTAAAATTCAGATCTGAAGGCTTCTCATCAGTCACACCAAACATAAGCTCCTGAAGATCCTGCAGCTGGGAATAAGTGCTTTGAAAGTCAATGTGTTGCATTCAGGTTTCCAAGGATATTGTGATACAAGACTTCAGATCCAAAGTAGATATAAAACTTCAAAGAGTGAGATTAGATTTATATCCAGCACCTAGGGACTTCCACTCTAGGTAAAAATCCATTGCTCTTAATCAAATATCCTTATGGTACTGCATAATTTAAATAAAGACATAAATAAGTACATCTATTTTTTGGTAATGAAAAGCACTCTAAAATTAATGGTTCTTTTCCCCATTGAAATGTGGAAATGAACAGAGAAATGAACAATGGATGGAATTATGTCAGCAGTGTGGAAGTATTTTCCCCTACTAATACCAATTCACAGGACAACAATTTGCCTCTGTAAATTCAACATCAACATCCACAGGGGCTGCAGCATGTACTGCAAGGCCAGACACCTCTCTTGGTACAATTTTCTATCTTTCGTAATGAGAATTGTGTTGACTAGAACCCTTAAATTCTGTGTGGCAGATCATGGCTCATTCATTATAAGCTGTCATAACACCTAATAAACTAAAATTTTCTTGATCTAGAATACCTATTATGGCCTTAAAATTGTGGTAGTTGCAATTTTTTTTTTGTTTTAATAAATAAATAGTTTTAGTGCAAATAGTTGTTTTAGTGCAAATAGTTGTTTTAGTGCAAATAGTTGTTTTAGTGCAAATAGTTGTTTTAGTGCAAATATAGTTGTTTTAGTGCAAATATAGTTGTTTTAGTGCAAATATAGTTGTTTTAGTGCAAATATAGTTGTTTTAGTGCAAATATAGTTGTTTTAGTGCAAATATAGTTGTTTTAGTGCAAATAGTTGTTTTAGTGCAAATAGTTGTTTTAGTGCAAATAGTTGTTTTAGTGCAAATAGTTGTTTTAGTGCAAATAGTTGTTTTAGTGCAAATAGTTGTTTTAGTGCAAATAGTTGTTTTAGTGCAAATAGTTGTTTTAGTGCAAATAGTTGTTTTAGTGCAAATAGTTGTTTTAGTGCAAATAGTTGTTTTAGTGCAAATAGTTGTTTTAGTGCAAATAGTTGTTTTAGTGCAAATAGTTGTTTTAGTGCAAATAGTTGTTTTAGTGCAAATAGTTGTTTTAGTGCAAATAGTTGTTTTAGTGCAAATAGTTGTTTTAGTGCAAATAGTTGTTTTAGTGCAAATAGTTGTTTTAGTGCAAATAGTTGTTTTAGTGCAAATAGTTTTAGTGCAAATAGTTTTAGTGCAAATAGTTTTAGTGCAAATAGTTTTAGTGCAAATAGTTTTAGTGCAAATAGTTTTAGTGCAAATAGTTTTAGTGCAAATAGTTTTAGTGCAAATAGTTTTAGTGCAAATAGTTTTAGTGCCTTTTTTATGCAAATTGATTTTGTAAAAATACCTTGACCTCTATCTTCTATAGGGAGCTAAAACAAATTCATCATAGCAATTCTAAATTAGCAATAACAAGATAGATAAAAATAGGCTTTCCAAGTTATGCATCATGGCTTTGAGAAAAATGTTGTGGGTTTTTTGTGGCTGCTCAGTCCCGTGCAGATGCTCACTCCCTTCCCCACAGAGGGATGGAGGAGGGAATTGGATGTGCAGAAGTCAGAAGTCAGTCTCATGGGTTGAACCAAAGACTGGTTAATAGGTAAAGCAAAAGCTGCAAGTGAGCAAAGCAAAGAAGTCGTTCAGTGCTTCCCACCAGCAAGGAGGGGTTCAGTGATCCCCAGGAAAATGGGGCTCCATCACAGAACAGTGATTTTTGAAAGGCAAATGCCGTTATTGCCAGCATCCCCTCTTCCCCCTTCCTCACCAGTTTTATTGCTGAGCCTGGTATGGGATATTCCTTGGGCCTCTTGGAGTCTGCTGTCCCAACTCTGTCCCTCCAACTCTTTGTGCATCCCCCAAGTCCATTCACTGGTGGGTGGCTTCAAAGGCAGAAAAGACCTTGATTGTGCAAGCTCTGCTCAGCAAAAAATAAAACATCCTTGTGTTATCAATACTGCTTCCAGCACAAATTTAAAAACAGCCAACTGTGAGGAAAAGTAACTCATACCCAGTCAAAACTGGCATAACTTAAGGGGGAAAAAAAAGATAATCATTCTGGTAAATAACATGTGCCTTCTTAATTGTAATGAAATTTATTTTCCCCTGTAACAAGAACAGCAACAAGAAGAAGTTACAGGAAAACAGACAAGGAAATTAAATTGAAAAGTTATGTTAAACATAATTAATGTTGTGACATAAACTGACAAAAGCCAGGAAATTGAAACCTAAGGCTGACACTCTAGCTATAATGCTTTTCCATTACATGACTTAAAACCACAGTTATAGCCTTAACTTTGAATTTCCTGTCTGTTGTCAGTTTGTGTCACAACCTTCATATTCCTTAAACATTGGGTGAATTGAATTGTATATTACTCTTTAATTGAAATGAGAATCAACAGTAAAATCAGAACCTTTTGAAAATAGTTTTGGAAAAAACCTGCATAAGTTTTAAGTTGTCCATGTCTTGCATTTGAACTTTACCACACGTTTTCTCTAAATGAAATTAGCACTAAATCTTAATTTCCCACTAAACTATGAAAATAAACATGTTATGTTTTCAAACACAGGTATTTAATTTATAAACTACAAAATAGATCTCTAGGAGAAAGCATTAAAATCTATTTTTGTTGGAGAAATAGTTTTTCTTAATCATAATTGTTATTTATTGTATCTGCAAATCCGCCTCGTATTATAATTTTACTTTTTGATGCAGGACCAATAGGTGACAGCAAATGTCTCTGTGGAGTTTGACATATGACAGTAAATGCTCTGCTTGGGCATCAGTTTCTTTGTATAAATAAGATCATAACTTTCAGGCAAAAATTATTACTGTTGCAACAATTCAAAGCTGCAGAGGCAGAAGAAATGTTTCTAAACAACATCAGCAGTTTCAAGAACTACAAAAACTCAAGAATGTGTTTATAATATATTCTATTTCCTTCCTTCAGAGAACTAGAAAAAGTAAAACCAAATTAATTCCTAACATATATCTTATATATCTTAACATCCTATTTTGTTCCAAAGGCTTGTGGTTTTCCAATCTCTTTGTAGATACTTGGTTAACCCACAGAAATGATAATTTAAAAGATAAAGAACATCACTTTGTTGAGCTACACTACAGACTGCATTTACAACTCTTTGGTACAGGTATATATATTTTCTAATAAAATCTCGTAAAGATTTTAAGCATACTGAGGCAACCTAATCCTTATTTACTGTCAAAATATTTACTCTCCATTCTAAAAGTAGTATAAAGTAACAAAGCAATGATGTTGTCTGTGTAAGAGAAGGAAATCAGCTGAAGGGATGTTATTAGCTTTAATTCAGCCAGTGAAGAGATAGGAAATAGCATATTAGAAATCTCTTTTGCAAGGCAGTGACATTGCATGTGAGGAAGCAAGATTATTTCATATATGATTAAAGGGACACATTTATTCAGTGAATTCATTGGAATTACACCAAGAATCTTTCTTTGGGAATAATTTTACCTGGTGCTGCAGATCATTCTCTGGTATAAATCCCTCAGGCTCCTTTGGCTTGATTTATGACTCCTAGCAATGAGGCTCATTGTTCCAAAAGAGCAAAAATTTTGTTCCTCAGGAAGAACTGCCAAGAAAAGCAAAGGAGCCTTAATTGTAGCATTTGATAAATTCATATTTTCTCTAAATTTATTTAGATAGTCAATCCTCTTTAAACAAACATTTTCTGAACGCCTAAAGCATGTTATACATATTTTAAACAGTGTCCTACTACATACGATACAGTGCTATAAATTAATATATTTCCTGAGGAAAAAGTACCTCTTTGACCTCAAGGCAAATTCATTCATATCAAATCTCTGCACATGCAAAGGACTCCTCCACACAAGGTGTGCTTAATAAGCAGGCAAGTTTAACAAGATGGTCCAGGGTTCACCTACCCCGAGCACACCTAGAGCCAAGGATGAGTCTCTCTGTAAATCTCCTCATTACCTAAATGAACACACATGCCATTTGGCCTGGGCCTGGCTCCTGGATGCTGAATTCCAGGACCCTTTACACTCTCAGAAGAGGATCAGGAGCAGAGTGGATGCAGAAATAAATTAAGAAAACAATGAGGTAGGTGCACTGTCTCTCAGCTTGTTGGAGCTCACAGAGTAAACTCTGTACACGGCCATGGGGGAAGGATGATACTGGCCAGTGCAAACTGACCCTGCCTCGTGGGCTGCCTGGAGCATCAGTGGAAAAACACAAACATTAGCAGCCCTCCTCATGCACAGAAATCATCAAAACAAGTTAGCTGGCTTACTAAAGGTGGCAGCTCATCTCTTTTGTCTTAAAGGCAGGTCAAGGCGCCAGGCTCAGATGCACACGATACAAATCCCACCTTAGGTAACTGAAAATATACTTTTTTTTCCCCCTCCAAATGTAAGTAATTTAAAATCAAATGTGCAGAATTTGTGACTGTTTATCTCTTCCTGGTTTTATCTTTCTAAGTCGTATTCTTTGATACATATCATAGGAAGATTCCAACTCTTTATCTGTTTTAAGTACTGCCCTTGTGGAAACTGATATGGGTACAGACTAAGCAAATGGCTCATTTAAAATAGCAGCTGCAGTGTATGAGAACAGGCTTTCTCCAGTCTGAAACAGAGTTACCTTTGATTTTGCATTAAGGCCATAACTGATTTATATGTAAAACCTATGCTTTTTCTCCCTACAGGCTGCTGGTTGGTTGGATAACCTGCTCTTTCACCATCTTTGCAAATCTTGCATGTGCAGTAAAGATTTTTGGCAATAGTTTAGAGGCTTCCTCCCCCACAACTTCTTATGAACTCCATCTGGCCAGAATGAAGGAATCTAAGTTGAACAGTACATCAAATCCCCAAGTGATATACTCCTAAATCCATTGTTTCTTGTGATGTTTCAAAGAATTATGTTTGAGTAAGGAAATTGAGGGCTTAGTAATATATTGATAATTAACACAGCAGATGTTGTATAAGTGTAGGTTGAAATAGCATTTCTCTCTAAAAAGAAAATAAGTATATTAAGCAATAATAGAAACATTTTAGTGACACTAGTTTAGGTATTTTTTAAATAGTTTAGTCTTATAAATAGCTGATTTAATGTCTGAATGAAAAATATCTGACAGTCTTCACAGTCTGCTCTTTGGTTTTTTGGTTTGGTTTTTTTTTTCCCCCCTGTCTTATTTCATTTAAGTTCAAAATGAATCCATATTTTCTGTGATTTATTGGGTAACATTGTAAGAAAGGCAAGACAGTAACCTCGGGCAAACCATATGCAGTGAACAGGTTCCAGAGACATTTTATTACTTTCTACCAGTGGTAGGTTAGCACTGGCAGGCTTCCTTCTGAATAGGTTACAACTGCTATCAGATACATCTGTTCAGCATTTTACTGCAAAGGGATGTAATGCCAAAACAATGCTGAACTTGGATTGCCCATTTCCTGAGATTACTGCTCTCAAAAAAGTTCACAGAAAGCCTTTGTCTCTGTAATTTTAACATCTGACAAACAAAACCTGAAACAATATTTTAATTTCATGCATTATTCGTAAACTTCTGCAGAAAATATAACTATAATTAGTATAATCACTATCATCTGCCAGCAGAGAAAAGAGGTTCCAGAAATCATTTATGCTGGTTAATTTGCAGGATTTTTGTGGTTATTTTATTTTAATGAGGAAAACCTACTTAACTATGTTCTAACCTTGCCAGTTAGATCTGTCTTGTCCATTTTGTATCCTTTTCTAATGGAAAAATCACTTAGATTTTATACCATAAAGTTTTGTTATTTTCAATAATGTTTTTACAGGAATTTTATTTTGTAACTGGCAGTCTTAATAGAGACTTTCTACTCTGTTTCCAAAATGCAAGCCTGTTCAGACTTATCATGTACACCCCAGACAGTTCACAGGTAATGAGACAACAACAACAACAAAAATTCACAATACAGAAAATTCATCACATTAAAAATCAGTCTCACTACATTTTTTTTCCTGAATATTAATGTTGTCCAATATCTATACATGACCACAACAAGAAGAGGCTACTCTGGATGAGATGGAGGTGAAGCCTGTAGTTCATCAGCAAGATAAATGTCAGCTCTGGAACACATTCTCCCACTGCCTTTTGCTTGTTTCCTTTCTGCAGATTCAGTGGTGCAACAGAAAAGTGTAGGGCCCTGTATTTATGTCTCAAATAATTAATGTAATAATTTCTAGTGCCCATATTAATTTTTCCAAAATTAGCTGTGCAAAGCATGGTAAATCTTTGGGTTTGGACTGCTGTGATACAAATTCTCCAATCCAGATGGTCAGGTAAATGTGTATTCAGCAATCCATGCTCAGCCTTGTCCCTGGCCATGGTTGGGGACATGGAGCTGTGGAGCTTTGTATCTATCAGAGTTTGACTACTGGTAATGCCCTATACTAATAATTTAATGGGAAACCATGAAATCCCTTCCTTCTCTAGTGCCAGCTGCACTTCTCAGCTTGGGGCCACCTGCAAACCTGCTGGGAATGCACTGGATATCCCTGTGTCACTGATAAGGACATCAAGAGCCCTGAGGGACACCACTCCTCACCAGCCTCAGCCTGGACAGACACACTGACCACAGCCCCAGCTGCATCCATCCAGCTCGTGTGCAAAATGCTCAGAAAACGGGATGGAAAACAGCTGAAGAATGATCAGAGCAACAATCTTGCTTTCATATTTCTGCCTTAATCCTGTGACCAAACAGAAGTGAACTGATGACTGAAGTAGATGAAAAATTACTTACAGATAAAGCTGAGTCATTTTTCAAGGCACAATACACTTATTTGTTTCAGCAGTGTTTTCAGTGTTAAATTTACCACTGGAGAACAAGCAACTCCACTCACTTTTATAGAGACGACAGAAGATTTTTATATTCCTGTGTCTATCAGAGATTGAATGTGGCATTTACACTTTTTATCTCTTGTTATTCCTCTGTACCAGGTTTTCCTGGAAGGGTGGGAAATATAAGACATGGCCAAAAATATCAAATTTAGATATTAGATATGTTTCTTATTAATGTCACTTTTAATAGTTAGGACTATGAGGTTTGATGAAGACAGTTCTCACTGGACTTTCAGAGATGCAAGAAGGACTATAATTATTGTTTTTGTAAGTGCAACGTCTTAGATTTTTACAAAAATTTCCAGCTCACTCTGCTTTAAAGGAAATTTTTGTGATCCAAAGATTCAACAGTTCCATAATAACTCCAATTAAGCATCAACTCTTTTCAAAAATATTCTGCTAGCCCACACATGTGTGATGATGTGTATCTGCTGGAACAGCTGACAGAGTTTCCATCATGCCTGGAAATGAAGCCTCAAGTTTATAACCCCTCAAACTCTCAAAAGCCAGGGACAAGCTATTTTACTTATATCCTGAAACAGCAAAAGGAATTGAACAATCTTCTTTTCCAATTCCACCTATATAATACAAACAGGAAGCCAGGTCAGTTTTATCTGAAATCTACACTGAATGTATAACTTAGCACTTTCCTCTTCTCACTATATAAAATTTCTCAAGATTACACCCAGAACTAATGCATAGAGAAGACCCACTTTTCAATAGATTTGTCTTTGTTCTTTTCAGAGATAATAGCATTTTTGTGCTAAATAATTTTTAATTTCCATAGGCCTCTAGAGAAGCGAAACAGGAAAATGCTGCATGAGGTACTTACTGTGCTGTTCCAATAATAACAATCAGATTAAGCAAGAGACAGGATCCAGAAAGCTACTAAGACTGTAGTGAAAGAGCCATCCAATTGTTTTTCTTTGTGGAAATAAATATGCCTGAAACCAGTATGTATTATCCTAGTCTTATGAAGTAGCTGAGATAATTTAATTTATGTCCATCTCTGTTATATGTTTCAAAGGTGTTTTCCTTGACAAATAGAATTCTTAAAACAGATCTAGTTGTCACAGCATTCTGCAGAACCACTGCAGCTGATCCATGTGAGAAAAGGGGTTAAAACACATTTCTTAGAGCAGATTTCTAATGAATTACCATGTGTTGACTGATAGCTGAGCAAACTCAGAGTTACTTGAATTTCTTTACCACTGTGACTATATTAACCCCTGATTCCACTATCCAATGGAGTCAAAGCTGGAACTATATTTTTTCTACCAGGTATATAAATATCACTCTCTGAATCAAAGTCAATACCTGTTTAATAACAGCCCCTGAAAAGCTCAAATTCAGTCTGCTTCTACTGCAGCTGAAGAAACATCCAGGAAGGAGATTGTTTTTTGCTTTCCTGTGAGAAAATGTCCACAAATTCTCCAACACTATAATTACTGGTAAAATCAAAATTAACACCTTCAGCTTCTTTCTAAATCAGTGAAACTCAAAGCTGATATTGAGGGAAACACATTAAGCAGCCATTAAATCATAAAGAAATTACTTGTGCTTGAGCACATACTCCCAATGTTTTTCTGAAGGCTTGATTTCTGCACATCTTGGCCTCAGATTTTCATTAGGTCAGGGCCTGCAATATTTCAGTCAATTTTGCACTGCTCAACTCAGCTCCTAATTGGTAGCACTCACCTGTATTCTAGTCCAGAGCAACTCTCACTCAT